TCGGCTCAGTCCTGTGGGCAGGAGCAAGGAAACAGAGAAATTCAGATGCACGGAGCCCACATTCAGGAGCAGCACAGCCAGGGGCAGAGGCCAGGCTGTGCCTGCGCTGCCAAGACCCCCCCGGTGCCCCCAGGAGAGGGGCCCTGCTGCATCCCAGCACCCAAACGCTCAGTACTGCAGCCCTGTCCTCTGCCTTCCCTTCCCGCCTTGCTCGGGAAGGCCAGTGAGGATGCTGAGCGTGTTTGTCTCTATTGTAAGTTGCCAACCCTCCCCCCCCCCTTTTTTTTTTTTTTTTTGTTATTACATTTTTTCAAAATGGAAAAAGTGAATCCCTCCCCCTTCCTTGTCCCTCCCTGCCACGTTCCCAAGGTGCCAACTAATCTCCAATGCCCAGCTTGTACACAGCCACCTCTAATTGCTCCTGCATTTTCATCTGGTGTAAGTTCAGCCATCGCTACAGCTGCCCCTCCTCCCCCCGGGAATTCACACCTTCATTATCACTCTTTACTGCAGAGCCGTCCGCAGGCTCCCGGCTCCGAACAGCAGCTCCGATAAAAAATAGAGCAGCTTTTCAGTGGTTTCAATTTTAATTACCAGCATCAAGGCAGCTCGCATTCTCACCAGGCTGTTTCGCACTAATTAAAGTGAGGAGGAGTTTATGGAAGGGACACCAACTCCACTTCACTCCCTCATCTATTATTTACAGACAGTAATACAAATAATTTCCAATTTAAACAGTCTGAGCTGGCCAGCAAAGAGGAGGGAGAGCTGGGGAGAACGCTAAGCAAGGAGAAACTCAAATAAAGAGCTGAAACTCCAAGAGGGGACAGAAAATCGACTCCCAGTGCCCTCTAGTGGGGTGATTTCTTGAGGGGTCCCAAGGTCGGAGGTGTGAACATGCTCAGAAGGACCAGCCAAGTGCCAGATGCTGGTTTCTCCCAGCCTGACCTCGCCAGTGACCTTCAAGATGGGACCAAGATGCAGCAAAGGATGATTTTGGCCAAGTGACCAGCTTGTGTGGGTGCTCACCCCACCTGAAGGCACCATCTGTGGTGGGGGGCCAGGGAAACGTTGAGCTGCAGGTCTGAGATAGCATGGGAAGGCTTCTCCCATTGTGGAGGTGGGCTGTCCGTGTGATGATAAACTCATCCATCAAGAGATGCAGTTTCCCAAGGCCAGGATTTCTTCCCTGCCCTCCTGTTGGATGGGAAATGATCTGCATTTCCCAGTCAATCTCTCAGTGCAATGAATGCCAAACCTGGGAATTTCATGGATTTGCAGAGAAGAAACCCCATAGATAGGGCAGCATGGAGGTGTGTGGTTCCTACCTCGATGAAAACACTTCCCTGTGATCATGGAACATTTAAGATTTTTCCATGTTAATTAACCAAGATGCGACAGCAACTCTACCACCTTGCTGTGCTTGTTTTTGGCACAGGTGAGGCAACTGACACCATGAGCTTTGTGTTATGGCTCTGACCTCTGCAAGGCGCTGAAATGGTGTCATCTGTGGGTCACATTCGGATTTCATTTAAACCAGTGCTGATCAGGAATAACTCCAATAAGAACAGGGTTACCCCGGATTTACACCAGGCTAAGGCAGATAAGCCTGAAGATCAGTGACTGAAGGAGATGAAGTTTCAGCATAAATGATATTACTAGAGAAAAGTAGCTTGATTGAAGCACAGGTGTTGAATGTTAATCGCTGTAGGCTTGATCCAGCGTCTGTGTAAGTCAAAAGCAATATCCCATTTACAGCAGCATCTCGGAATTAGATCAACGGCAGGTAAATACTCAGAGACTAATTCATCTTTCTCTCGTATCACCTCTGGAGTCTGTGAAGTGCCTGCGACTTCAGCAAAAGCATTCCTGACTTCTGCCAGGGTGCACTGGAGAACTGGGCTGCCTGCTCTGCAGCAAGTGGCTCTCACACTTGGGGTCGGGTCAGGGGGTGTCGCTGGGCCTCAGGATCAGCCCTATAGGACTTTTGCTCCACATCTGACTGTGCCTGTCTGCGCAGAGGGGAATGGACTTGCTCACATGCCGTGGGCAGGTTGGACCCGATGGTCCAATGCAGCTGGAACACAAACCACACCACGACTGCGGGTGTTCCTGGCTGCTCCGGTGTAAAAAGAAAGTAAATAACCAACCAATACAAACAGCCACAAAGCCATAAACGTTTGACAGCTGTTAAACTGTGGATGCAGACAAAACCCCAAGCCCTGGCCCCGTGCGATGAGCCTGGCCTGCAGGTGGGGGCTTTATGGCCGGGCTGGTGGATAAGCATCCATGTGACTGGTTCAAGAACGGGCTGCTCAGCACAGATCACAGGGAGCCCCTTCACGGAGCTGGAATGCCTTTGCACCAGGCCTCTCATTCCCAGCCAGAAAGTCTGTCTCTCTCTGATGAGAACAGGGGTTTTCTAATTTATTGCTTTTATGGGATTGTTCCTCCACAGAGGCACAAATAGCAGCATATCAATAAAGCCAGTCGTTTGAAGTTGGATATTTCCACCTCTGTCACAGCAAAATAATTAAAAAAGGATTCACAAGATCATAAATTACATGTCACCAAGGACACAGCCTCTTTAACCCTTCAAATGCCAGGCTGTGCCCACCCGAGCCACATCCTACTCAAGGCAGGAAGCCACATTTGTCATTTTCAGCTTTTTGGCCACTGGTGCTTTCCTGTCTGAAAGGAGACACACCAAGGACTTGTCTGCACTGGGGATGGCTGGCAGGAGCTCAGCCCAGCTCCAGAATGAGAATGCTCACATTGGTTTGATTTTCAGCCATGCCAACAAGGATCTGTGCTGCAGACCTGCAAGAGCTGAACATTTAGTCACATGGAAGTTGAAACACTTACATCAGGCTTTGGGAAAAACAGCTTCAAACATATTTGAAGAGTGGCAGCGTAGAGAGGGCCTGAAAAACATTTGTTCTCCTTTAAAAGCTCCTCTGGCTCCAGCGAGATGATAAAAAGGATGGAGCCCATCTGGGTTGGAAACTCCCGTTATCCTGCTGATCCCTCCTCAGCACAGACACAGCCAAAGCATACAGGAAAAGGAATGTAAATGCAAAAGAAAACCAATGAATATTATTTTCCAAGCAAGTGGCCACTTAGTTCCTGATATGACAGCCAGCTCGTGCTCTGGTCTAATTTGATCACAGTCAAGGTTAACAACCATTGTTAAACTCTGCAGGTCAAATCCTGCCCTCTTGTAAATCCAGGGGAACTCCACGGGAAAGTGTAAATCTCTGGGTTTGAGTCTCCATGGCAGGTGGGAAGGGGGTTCCCCAGCAGGGCTGAGGATGGGGACACGGACTGCAACCTGTGTGTGCTGGGCCAAGGGCAGGGCAACGAGTTGGTGTGGGTTGGTGGAAGGGAGCCCACCCTGGGCACATGGTTCCAAAAAGACCCCTCTCTGTGTCCCATGGGAGTCTGCAGCCTTGGGAGAAGTCCTGCTGGAGGTGGATTTGTGGGAAGGGCAGTGCTGATAAGCTTATGGCAGGGCTGTGAAGTTTTGTGCACGTGTCCCATGGCTGTATCTGCTATGATCAGCGTGCCATGGAGGCGTGTGGGTTTGTCTGCATTGTCTTATGAGAATCTCAATCCTCCTGATTCAAGACAAAATTCCCCAAAAAAGGTGCTTTTATCCTTTTTGTCATCCCAGCAAGAGCATGGCACAAAGTGGTAAAGGATGGCCACCGTTTGCTTAGGCTGAAGCTCATGTTTAAGTGCCTTAAGGGAAGTGAAGAACAAAACTCTTCTGCCATCCCCTCCTGACAAAGCAACCTAAAAGCTTACCTCTGGATTACTTACATCTGGTTGCTTCTGGAAAAGCAAGATCTCGAGGTTGTTACTCCACTTTCAGAAGCTCAGGCAGCAGTGACACCCAGCTCCAAAGTGACATCAGCTCCAAAGTGACACCAACACCAGCAGCAGCCCTTGCTGCAGACTGTGTGTGCAGCTCTGCAGTGAGCTGTGCAGCCCCAGACCCAAGGTGTTGAAATGCCCATAAAACCAATGGGATTCCTGTTTGCTCATGCTCTGTACCACCACAAGTGATAGCAAGGCTACGTACAGAGGGGAGAAGGAAGAGGCCTCGTGTTCAAAGCCAAACACACTCAAACATTCTCCTTAAAAGCCACAAGACATAAGAATTACGCATTGTTTGAGATTATATGTGGTGCAGAGAGTCTAAAGCTGATTCCATCCAGGTACAGGATTACTTCCCCCATTACAGACTCAGAAAGTCAGATGAGCTCAATGTATTTAAGCCAAAACAGCATCAATTAAGTAATGACCGTGAACAAACACAATAACATTAAAATCTTAAGCCTGGATGCTGGGAGGAGGAAAGCAGATGCAGAATAACAGCACGGCCGATGGCGCTGGGTTTCAGTCACCTTTCCCAGTCCTGTTACACATCCACACAGCAGACTGCAAGGGCAGCAAGGGGAAGGGGCTCAGCCTTTGCAGAGCCTTTCCCGTCAGAAGCCGACCCTGGCCCCGGGGAGCCCTGCCCTGCCTCTGTGCCCAATGGTACATGACACCAGATTAGGACCCTTCAGAGCTGAGCTGCAAACCAGGCAGACAGGGCTAAACGGCCCCTGGGTACGAGATTACAGGAGGCTGCAGAGGGACCGGGAAACGGCTGCTCCTTCCCCACCGAGAGGGGGGGGAAGAGGATGAGGACGTGCATATGGAGCAGGGCAGCAGCTGAGCCCCTGTCAGAGCTCCCTGGAGGAACTGGAGGAGGCAGAGCAGGGGCTGCACAGCAGCGCTCGGAGCAGGACTGATAAATGCATGCTCATCACGAAGGGAGAAAGTGCCCAGCGTGTGGCTCTGGGCAAACAGCAACAGCAGAAACAGAAGAGAGGACTTCTCTTAAGACTGGCACCAAATGTCTGCAGAAATGGCCGTTTTTGCTGACTCAGCCCTATGCCATGGGCAGGTTTGTGGAGCATCAGGAGTCCTACAGCGGCAACAAACCCTGTGGTTTCTGAATGGTGGCCTGCAGACCCCTATGGGCTGTGAAATGAAGGCTGTGGAAGGCCGTGAAAGGAAGCAAAATCTTTCATGCTCCAGTGAAAGCACAAAGAAGTCTGTGCCTCTGCTGAAAAACTTTGTTTAGCAGCCCACAAACTGGAATAAATCAAAATCACAGTTTTAGTTTTAGGAATCTATAACTGCCCTTCATACAATTTTTCTATTATCTATCCAAAATAAAAATAGTGCAGATAAGTAATGAGATCTTGCAGTACCTATCAGTGTAGCTATAATAAACATTTTGAGTGGAGCACTGCGAGATGAAATGATGTCTTATTAGAAGAGCTGAAGGTGTGAAACTTGCCACCAGCACCAAGGCATAGAGGTGCTCCTATGACATCTGGCTCTTACTGTTTATTATCAAATTGATGGTTAATGGAACCAGAACCTTCATGTCATCACTCAGCTGTCACTGGTGCTTGTGTGGCTCCATCTCCATAACATCCATTGCTCTCTGGCTCTAGCATCCCTGCAGTATGCCCACAAGGAGCAGCACGATGGCTGTTCCTGGAGAACAAACATAATCCATAGCTGAGCCTCTGGGCCAATGGCCAGAAGGTCTGAGGGAGGGGAAATCCTTTTCCATGCAGGCCTTGATGGTGCAGTTGATCTGAACACTTGGGGGGCCTCTGAGCTGAGTCCCAGTCCTGCCAAAATTAGTTGTCTGAGGGGAAGGTTCCCTGTTTTCACATTGCAACAGCAACAAGCAGATCGTGTGGGCACAGAGGGGTCAGAGGAAATCTGCAGGAGGTAAATGGGAATAAAGCTGAGGGAATCTGCCTCTCCATCAGCTGCATTCGTGAAGGGTACTCTTTGGTCTTGGGCAGATAAGGGTAATGGGGTTTTGCTATGGCCCTCCTGATACCACTCTTGACCACCTGTCAATGCTTTGTGGCACATGGAAACCCCAGAAGCCAAAGCAGAAGAGGAGGCTTTGTGGCACCTACCTGGTGCAGCAACAACAGGAGTGAGTGGCTGAATCCTTGGCAGTGAAGCTCAGAGCTGTGAACACCCAGCTGGGATTTCTCCAGGTTGGTGAGGATCTTGGTGGTGGGCACAGTGACATCTGCATCAAACTAGAAAGGTCAGGGGGCAAGAAGAGGGGCTTGGATAGCAGCACTGCCCCAGCCGTCCTCACCTGGCCACCAGGGCTGCAGCCCCCTCCTCCCCTCCAAGCCCACCATCAGCACACTTATTAACCCCCTTTTAATTTAAGAATTAGCAAATGTTGTTGTAACACAGCAAACATCAACCAGTTTCTTCCAGCAGTCTGCCATTCGGGACCATGAAGGGAGGGAGGCAGAAAAGCTGTAGGAAATAACTTACCTAGTCCATGGAGCACAGCGTTTCCCTACCTGCAACCTCAGCACCCAAGGGAGCCAAGAGCAGAGCTTCCCTTGCCTCACTCAGCCCTGGGGGGAGGCAACGAAACATCATTTTCTCCCTCCAATCCTTTGAACTATACTCCTGAGTAGAGAGAAGACAAGGGAAAATATAAGGGGGAAATTAATTCCAGGCAGTTGAGTGCATTCCCTGCTCTAGCTCAGTTTGGAGTAGGTACACATAATAACAACTTTTTAATAATAATTTAATTTATAATGTGCCCCCCTGCCTAGGCACTCAAGGCACTGCACAAACAATTAAAATATGATTATAATAAATAAACAACAATAATTAAAACATCATAAAACAGACAGTATTAGCGCCAAACCAAACACCAAAAAGCAAAACAAAGCAGCATCTACGGAGGAAGGAGATCCTTGCACAATTCATCTTCCAAATCTCCTGTTGATGTTAGATTGAAATTCTCCTGCGAAGCTGTTTCTGCATTGCAAAGATTTTGGCAGTGTCATAGTCGTTAAAAAAAATGGATTTCACACCACTGTAAATTAACCGGAGTTTTGCAAGGCTGTAATAACGCAGCGTTCGCTCCTGTCTCTAAATTCCAACGCTCCGTTTAGTCGGGAACTCAGCTTATGGCACCGAGTTTGTGTTGACTGCCCCGAGTTTGGGAAGAGCACGCATTCATTTTGCTCTCAGTTCATAAAACGGGCTTCATTACAGTCGTAAGAATGCTTCCATCGGCACAAGGATGGCGTGTGAAGATTTAAACCCAACCCCAAATGTGAAGAGCAGACAGCCCTGCCCGCCCCTGGCCATAAGCTCTTTGGAGCCGAGGGGATCGCCTTGTCCCAGCGTACACAACTGGAACCAAAAGACCTCGACTAACAAAAGAAGCAATCTTCCTCCAAAACAAATGAAATCCCAACTTGTGCCAGGAGAAAGCCGTGCACTGAACTCTAATGATTAAAGGAGACAGGCTCTGTCAAGGCAGAGGTGGAACTGAAACCCAGCCAGTCGGGCCCTCTCCTGACAAAACCTGGCCACCAGCCCTCAGACAATTACATCCAGGATCCGTTCACTCGAGTGCCTCGGCTGATCTCAGTTGTTGTGGCAGCGCATGAAGGGAAAATCCTTCTTGCAAACCCAAACCACGTGGGATTTCTCCATATTAGCAAAAAAAAAACAAAACACAAACAAAATGGGTTAGGAAGATGAAGCCAGAGGTTTTCTTCCAGCACAGGGAACCAGGAGGATGCTTTCCGTTCCGATCTGTCTGAGGCTTGGTGCTCACGGGCCTTATGTGGAGCTTCATATCTAAGTGGGTCTTCAAAATCAAAGGGATGACAAATGAAACGTGGTTCTCACACACAAAGCCATCTTTTGGCCAGGATTCATTCAAAAAACATCCCTCAGAAGGGCTCATGAACCTCAGCTTAGCATGCTGTGTCATAATTTCACGTTTTTCAAACCGGAGAAGATGCCTTCAGAGAGGATGCTTTCATTCATTTCTATTTTCCCCTACCAGGACACTTGAAAACGGTTTGAGGCACAGGCTGCTGTTTCACACAGATTTCCACAAAAGAGGTTGAAGCTCATGCTCTTGGGGATGCTCCACAGAAGCAGATTGGTTCTGCCCCCTCCAGGAGACGCACCATGGGCAGCAAAGTTTGCACTGCACCTTCCTGCGTATGGTTTTTATTCTCCTTGGGGAAAGGATGCACTGAGATGTGAGTGGCTCCTGTAAGCCTTCTGTGCTCCCTCCTGCCTGGTCATATTTTGGGTAAAAGATTCTGATTCTGGGATGAATTGCAGAAAATTTGCATGCAGTTTTCTGTACCACTTTTCTACCATTGTCCTTCGTGACCTTGAGGAGCTGACTCAGAGTCACAGCATGAAAAATATCAGAAAAATGCCTCACTCTTGTTTTTAAAGAGAAGACAGCATTTAAGTGCCTTGGAGGACCTGGGTCAAAGCTTTGTGCCTCAGTTTCCCCATGTGCTTTCCTACCTTTCAGGGCAGATTGGAATTGGACAGTGAAGAGAATGGGACATGTGTCAGCGTGGCCAGAATGGACCCACTGACCCTCACTCACTTCACCATCACTGTTTTCAAATCAGCTCTGGGCAATCACCAAGTGCTGATTCTACACCATCGCACGCCAACAAATCAAAGATCCCTCCCAGGGGCTCTCCGGGTCCTCCAGGGCTGGGCTGTGCAGCACCAGGGCTGGGAAGGCATCAGGAGCTGCTGCAGGAGAGAACAGGCTGGCACTTGAGAGCAGAAATGAGAAGATCGAGGTGGCAGAATATATTTTATGACAAATCCTAAAAGGAAATTATGCAAAGTAATAAAATAAAGAAGAATTGTAAATGAGGACAAGAAATGGGTGAGATATAGAATAAATTATAGGAAGACAGGAAGGTGCAGGAGGAGAATCGAAGGCAGAAGTGCTGAGTTAAAGGATAGATATTAGAATCTGGCTGGTAGACAGAAGGGGGAGTTTGGTTAGGATGGATCTCACCAGAGGGACTCGTGCTGTACCTGAGCTGTGTGGTGCTGTGCAGTGCCAGCAGCAAGCCCTGCTAGAGGCATCCTGGTGGGGGTATGGGACAACAGATAGCATCCATTATTGGGGTGTGAGCCCAGATTCCGGGCAGAAGGCTGCCCCTGCTTTCATCTGCTGTCAAAGCAAAATCAAACACGGGGAAAGGAGCCCTGCAAACAGCGGTGCAGCCTCAGCTCTCCCCAGCAGCCTCCTGCAGCCCCTTGGATGGGGTATCCCCAAGCCCTGGTCGAGGTTCCCAGGCTCTGAGTTGCTCCAGGTTGGGTTTCCGGAACCCTTTGCAGAGCCGTCGGGCCCCAGGTGCAGAAGGGGACGAGGGAAGCCCTCGCACAGGGCAGGGACCCTCAGTGGGTGCAGGAGGCATCCTCCGATGGCAGGAGGAGCTGGTCCCAGGCCCGCGGCCCCAGCTGTCAGTCTGAGCGATGAATTACATGCTATAAGAAGGTGTTGACAGGAGCAGCTGGACATCAGAGAGTGATGAAAAGGGAACAAAATTCATTCCGAGTTCAGACAGACTGGCTCGTTAGGGGCACCGGCGGCAGAGGCCACAGAAACACTGCTCCATCTCCTGGACATGCACAGAACCGGCTCCCGAAAATCCGCCAAAGCACGCGGAGCCCCTTCCCCAAATCGGAGCAGCTCCGGGGAACACAGCGCATCCCAAACCCGCAGCATCGCCACCGCATGGGCTTCCATTCGGATATCTTCAAAAGAAGCCGAATCGAAGGGGGTTTTGTCCCTCTTGTTTAAGGCTGTAATTTGTATAAACTGTACGAAGAGCACTGGGGGGTTGGGGGGATGGGGAGGGGAGGGAGGGAACGGGAGCATTTGGCGTCAAAACAATTATCTCCATTTTAATGCAAACTAAACGACATGCTAAAGGGGAATTGTTCCCTACATATGTACAGCAAGCGAACATTAAACCATACGGCTAATAATTAACCGGCTCGGCGTTGCCCTTGCTGCGTTAAATACAAGGGTGTCCCCTTGCATCGAATGTGCGGAGAAGTTTGAGGACGAGGAGGTCCCGTATGAGATTATTCCTAAAGCTGTGAGAATAGCAAAGAGATGCTTTTTGTTTTTGGTTTTTTGTTTGTTTGTTTGGTTTTTTTTAAAGCCAAACTACTTCTTGGCATTCTGAAAAGTTGGCAGAGAGAAAAAAGTGTGGGTCCTCCCCCCACCTCCTTCTCCCTCCCTCCCTCCTCCTCTCCTCCCTTCCCTCCCTTCCACCTCTTTCTGCTGCCGGAGAAAAAGAATAGCAAATTCAGAGAAAATTTCATTGAGGTTATTCAAAGAGTTTTTCATGGATTATTTACACAAGTGCTGTTCAAACAGCCTTTGTCTGAACATCCCTTGAAATCTGCACCCAATCCTTTCAGATTCAAAGCAATAGCTCAGGGGAGACAAAGGGGAGCGGCTGACATGGGTTTCCTCTGCAAGTGAATGAGAGGTCTGGCTAAACACAGAAGGGCTTTGGGATCACAAGCGTCCTTTCAGCCTGGAAAATAAACACTAAGCTGAAGCCGGGCAGCTGTAACTCCGGGCAGCCTGGCTCGTCCAACACCGTGCGAGGAGGATGGGGAGGCAGAGGGCTGGAGCAGCACCCCGTCCTGCATCCCCAGCCCCAGAACTGTTGCCTCAGTGATGGAGACGGGGCGACCCGGTGTCCTGGAACCACTACGTGCCTGCGCTTCCAGCCACGGCACACGTGGACACACACGACACGTTCCTCTTCCTTTCAGGCCTTTCTCATCCCTCCCCACCGGCTTTCACACCGTCTCTGCAAAACGGATCACTTCTTCCTCTGCCCGATTCTCCTCTTCCCATCTCACCGCTCTCAACCTGTTCTGGAAGCCACCACAGGTGTATGCATGAACAGAAACTCAGCACTCTGCTGCAAACTGGGGATAACACAGCCCTGTTTCCAGGTGGCCCAGTACTGGTGGGTTGGCTGAGTCCCGGTACCCAGAAATCCTCCACTCTTTGCTCTTTCTTCTTTAAAATATTGATTATTCTTTTATCAATACTGACACTTGGAATATAGCTATCCATAGAATCACAGAATCATGGAATCATAAGGTTGGAAAACGACCTTTAAGACCATCTAGTCCAATAAAGTCCAATCGTAAGACCATACAAATGCCCAACCTCTACTTGAGCCCCGCTGAGCTCACAGCCATCATTACAGAGCAGCCGCTTCTCGCCCACCTGTGTGTCCACAAAGATGTTTTATCTCTCGTCAGCTCAGAACTGACCAGGTTTTCCAGCTCCATCCATCACGAGGAGACAGAGGAAAGAGATCTCCCTGCAAGTCTGTTTTATCCCTCCTTGAGTCCCACACAATCCTTGAGTCTTATTGAATTATCACTTTTAACTTTCCCGGAGCGACGCTGCTTGTGAGTCACCTTTAGTACTGGAGAAGTAGCCTCTCCTAGCAAGAAGATTAAAATCCCATCACTTGTTATTCACGTGTTATTTAATGGCATTTTTTTCCATTATGTATTTATTTATTTTTAAGTTGCTCGCTTTGAATCTCGAGTTGGCGTTTCTAATACTGAGTGTAGTTTCTAGTTTGCTCTCCTAATTGGAACGAAATAAAAGCAGAATGGAATTTTAGAGCGGGTATTTTGATGCTTATTAAAGGAATGACAAAAAGCAAACCCCAACAACCAACAACCAAACCCCAATAGGGCACTTGTTCAGGATAACAGCAGTAAGGCAGCACTTTTACTGATGGAAACAGAGAAAATGGAATTGAAGACAGCTCTGGAGTTCAACTAAACACCAACAGCCCTCAGATTCCATGGTGTGCCCTGCTGAAGCCCATTACCTTTCTTGCAATGATTTGGCATCCAGGTGGTCGCAGATTTGACCATGTCTTGAGGACAGGTTCCTCCTCTTCTCATACAGTTGTTTCCTCATCCACGGGGAAGATGGGATGAGAGGAGATCTGCAGATTCTGTGAGTTTTTTGGCTATGGCAATATCCAGTATGAGGGAGGACATCTCTTCTTGGTGAGCAGACAGGTCTGAAGATGTGCTGCCATGTCCACGTCCAACAGAGATCTCATACCACAAGAACATTCCTCCAAGGCAATGTGACCAAGGCCTGAACGGAAACCTGAGAAAAAAGGTTGTTATTGGTGAAATGGAAAGCAAAATGGAAGCGGGGCAAGATGGGGAGATAAGAGAGAAAAGACTGAGAAATCTACAGAAGGAATATGAATGGTGGAGATAGCATAAAGATAGATCTTGACTATCTATCTTGGATCATGGAGATCATGGAGAAGTGGCAGGGAGCCAAATGGAAGAGTCAGAAGAGAAAGTGCTGCAGAAAAGAAAAGGCAGGTATGGGAGGAGGAGGAAAAGAATGATGGGGAGGGAGCAGGAGGACACAGCGTGGAAAGAGAGTTGGAGAGAGGAAGAAAGAAAGCGAGGAGGAGGGTGGAGAACAAAACTTTCCCCCAAGTGTAGTGCAGCAATCCTCTTGCATCTCTCGGACGCATGTAGAAGGGACTTGGAAGAATCTTCATTTATCAGGAATTCAATTAAGTGGCATAGCCATTATTAATTTTATAGGAATTATTTGTGCACGAATGCCTGGAGCGAGGAAAGGACTCCCGGAGCCATTTCTCCTGCCAGTGCCCCGGGTCAGGTAGGCACTGGCAGCGCAGTCTCACCAGTTGAGATATTAATGAGATGCCTCAAGGTGCAAATGATAGTTTAATAGGTGTTACTTAACGGGAGCGCCCCTCGCCTGCGCACGCCAGCGCGCGGCTCCTGACGAGGCTGCCTCCTTGTTAGGATAAGTAATTAGAATGTAGGAACACTCACTTTGACACTTTAATAAAGTGTCAGCCATCATCAATTTAGTATTTAATAAAAATAAAATTAAATATTTACCAGGTTTTCATAGCATCGCATTTTAAATACATATTCCTCAAATTTAGGTGGTTTCAAATGAGGTCTCGCCAGAACTCTGGCCTCAGAAAATAAGTCCCATGATTTCTTTCTTGGGCTTTGTCTTCCATGGGGAGGAGGGACTTTCTTACGGACATCAAACCCAGCAGCACACGAAGGGAAGTGTTGCTGAAAGGGGTGGAGAAGAAGTTTCTTCCTTTGTTCTCTGGGCCTCCATGTGCTGTTTGGAGGCTGAGGATGAACCGAGTTGAGCAAATCTACCCCTGCAATCAGCGGGGCTGGTGGGACGTGGTAAGGCAGCCCGGCAGGAGCAGGTCCCTCCCTGCTCAGCATGGATGTTCCATCCCAGCACAGCCAAACCTACTGCATCTCCCTGGGACGGACCTCCTTCACAGCTCTTCCCTTGGATGTGGGGACTTGGGCTGGGGATGTTAGACTGCCCCAGCCAAGGCATGGGGGCAAGTAGAGCTTCATTCCTATTTTGTCAGAAAGCAAAGCCTTTCAAATCAGATGTTGGAAAGAAAACAGAAGAATATCCAGAAGGTTAAAGCATGCCTTAAGCTTCGAGGGAAAGTGAGAGCTAAAATAGCTTGAGTTTGTTCCCTGCCCATCTGATCATTCCAAATTCTCTTTCCTAGGGATGCCCACCTGGCCAAGGACAGCCCAACATCCCCTGCCATGCTGGGCCCCCAGCATGCCAAGGACATCCAGGTGACAAAAGGCCGCAGGTAACCCCCAAGACACATGGTGTCACAGCCAGATATCTGCTTGCAGACCTTCCCCAGCCCCTCCTGTCTCTTGAAACAGAGCCCTTTTGGGGCATGCAGAGCTCAGCCCCATGCACGTACATCGTGACCATGTTCTGGAAAACAAAAGGAAGCAGCAGGAGAAGGTGCCGGTCCCTCTGGTCGAGGCGCCTGGCAACACGGAGCGGGTGTTCCCCAGATAGCCCCTGCTGACAAGGGATCCTGTCTCGGAGGCCGTGAGTCAAAGCTGAAACCCCGGCAACAATTCTTTCCACGGGAGCTGCAGCCCTGCGCTGTGAGCGGTGCTGGCCCCTGATCTGGGGGGCGGCACATCCCGACACGCGTCTTCTGATGACGATGATGATGATGATGAAGAACCCGGCGCTGCTCGGGCAGCTGCAGATCGGAACGCGATGCTCCGCTCTGAGCCTAGAAGGAGAAGCGGCAGCGGGGGCAGAAGCCGGACCCGATGGGGCGAGCGGGGCCGGGGAGCCCCGGGGCGGCCGTGGAGCAGGCGGGGACGCGGAAGCCCGTGGGTTCCGGGCGCGGTGCTGCGGAGAAGAGTGCCACGCAGTGTCCGTGCCGGGCCTTACAGCGGGCAGGCAGCGCTGCGAGCCTCGCGGCTGCTCTCGTGTTGTCTTTTGCTCCCCGACGCTCACGGCTCCGCGAGGACACCCACCGGCTCTGCTCCCTGCTCCAGGCTCCCCACGTTTGCTTTCACCCATCTGAGCTGTGCCACCCCAATGCACGGAGGTTGCCTGCTGCTTCCTCAGGTGACCGCAGCCTGTCCCTACCCAAATATAAAGAAACATCTTTACTTTTAAAAAACAGGGCTCACCCAGTCGCCCCCAGCAGCGCCTGTCATTTGGCAGCCTATGGGGCTGCTCTGGCCTCAAACACCTTTCGTGAAGTTCGTTGAAAGTCTGTCTGATAAAGGAAAAGCAATTAGGAGATGGCTTGGAGCTCAGGCTGACTTCAAAGGCTCCGTGTGAAGCACGAAGCAACACCCAGAGCTTCTGAAGAACCTGAACCCACAGCATGCCGACAGCCCTCTCTGGGAGCCCTCACTGCCCACCTGCAAGTGAGACGCAGAGTGCTCAGCTTTGCAGGACCAGCCTCCTCGTGCAGAGCTCCTGGGCTACAATGCAGCTCCTGACAGCCTCAGCGGGGTGTCAGCACGATGCAGAGGCCACGGGAGGTCCAAAGGATGGCAGAAGATGGCTGTGCTGCCCACGCTTGGTTTGCAAAGCACCACCGAGGGAGCAGCCAGCTTTGCCTGGTGACGCTGGCAGCCCCTCACCCACGTTTTCACAGGCAAACCCCACACTGACCTCCTTCCGGAAACACGAGGCAAATGCCTGCAGTCTGATTTACATCTGCCGCGGGATCCTGTTACATTCGGAGCAACCCCTGTCAACGCTGAATCTGTAACAATCAATAAAGAGAGAGAGTTTGTTTATTCGGTGTTGGGTTGTTGGCTTTTTGTTTTTTGTTTTTAATGTTTTCTCATCCCTAATAGCGTTATTTTGCTGCTCCAAGTTTTGCAAGTTTTGTGATCGCCCCCCCCCTCCCTTCCTTGTTTTCTTTCAGGACGAGCTGTCTTCTCGCATCTTTTCACCCGGCCACTGCAAATGTAAAACTGTAAATTGCGGGATTGTGCAAATAGCACTAATAGCATTTGCATAAAAATTGGTTGCGAAGAGCAATTAGCACTTCATTAATAATCAATGAAGGGCCAATTTACACATTGCCCAAAAGCAAATTGTAAATTCAATTTTGTCTATAATTGAGCATTTGGTGCTGGGCAACTGCACTGAGTGCCAGAAGAAACCCACACAGCAGTACGAGGGTCAAACCTCCATCAGTTCACATTTCAGGTATCTCCCAGCCTGGCTCCTTGGGCCCCAAGCCAGCACCTCGCTGACAAAGGAAAGATGCTCCGTGAGGTCCAGTGGTTTCAGCTTTCACAGAGAACACATCTCAGCCTATTACCAGCCCTGCTCACCTGCAGCCCTATTGCAAGGAGCACGGATGCTGCTCACAGGGCAGAGGTCCTACTCCTGTCCCAGTGCACCCTGCGGTGCAGCCGTGGGGAAGGGGAGATGTCTGAAGGACGTGGAGAAGAGACATCACTGCTGTGATGAATAGATCTGCACATCTCCCTGCTGCAGTGTCAGCCGGCGCCCTGCAAGGGACACCAGAGCTCACCCAGAGGCAAAGGTCTCATGTGGGCCTGATGGGTTAAGTGAACGCTGTCCCATTGACTCAGTCTGCCCTCTGTTACTGCCATCCACACCTTTCTGAGACATCCCAAATGTGTGCAGCTGCTAGGATGCAAAAAACTCATTCATCCTTGCTTCTCCTCTTTGATTTCGCCATCACTGAGTCATTCCTGGGTTTCTTTCGGCCCTCAGGAGGTGCAGCCTTCAGTTCCCCCTTTAGCAGCATCCACAAAACCAGGCAGCTCATCCAGGGCTACAACTTCCCCAGTCCCAAATTCACTGCTATCTCATCCTCCACTTAAAAGGCACAGCCAGCTCTGCTTCCTGAGCGGAGTCTGACTCTAAACCACTTGACATCTGAGGTTTCCTTATCACATTTTACGTGGATCTCATGAATCTGGTGAAAAGCCCGACGATCATTTAGCAGGGGTTGGTCGCTTTATCTATTTTCCATAATAATTTGAATATTATTACAATGGCACCTTTCATCTGGGGATATACATGCACTTTACATATGTTACATTAATTTCACCGATGAGCTGGGGAAGCACTCCTTATCCCTATTGTGTGGGTGAGGAAATGGAAGCACAGAGATGAAATACTGCTTGCCCAGCATCACGCAGGAAGTCTCTGACAGAGCCAGGAATAGAAATCACATCTCCCATGTCTTATGCAGGGGAATATCCTCACGTCCCTGCCCAGTAGCTGAGCCCTTAATCCAGACTAAGGCACCCACACAGGACCTGCTTTGCAAGAGCAGCGCAGCGCCGGCGATGCTCTGCTCTGAGACATCTCCCAAATTTCCCCCACCTTGAGGGCCCTCCGTGAGCAGCAGCTCTGGATGCTCAGGGGAAGGAGGGGCTCTGGGAGCAGTTTCCATCTGAGGTGGATGTTATTGCTTGCTGTAAGCAGATGCTCGACATGGGATGCTCAGGACTTCTCAGCTTTCACCCCACGCTGTCCCACCTCCCTTTCTCCTTGCCTGTTCAATCCACCTCCACTGAGAGATTGAATTTACAGTGGACTCGAACACATTTAAATCCATTTATTGCAAAATTACTTTTCAATAATTACATCACTGTGCTGACTGTGTTGCATAATGAAATTAGCGTGAGAGATATTAGGAAGAATATAAAATTATAAAAAATATTGAAATACCTCTTTCCCCGTCTGCCTTAGCACAGCCCATAGCTTAACTGGAAAACGACCGTTGCTCCTGGATGGGATTTAAATGCACCAAGTGTAATTTTATAATGTCTTTTATATAAATTAATTATAATGGTTATTGCTGCTTTACATTATTAGATTGAAATTTGCCTCCACTCCAGCGCGTCAAAAGAAAGCTGCACCCATCTTGCTCAGCGGTGCTGTGAGTTCCCATGGCACAGAGCCTTTCTCCCCACGTTGGCACCACCGACACATTTGAGGTTTGGAGCTTTGGAAATGCGTTGGCATCACAAATCCTTCAGCCCCAAACCCAGCCCAAGGCCCCGGCGCAGTGCTGGCAGCCCATGGGCATCACTGCCTGGCACCCAGAGCAAAGGTTGCTTTTCTGAGCTTCAGTCATACAGGCGCCTAGGCTGGGTTAAGCAATCCCACCCAAAAGCTGTATCCAAAGAGCTAGCTGTGGTAAAGGAGCTTCATTTTGCCTATCCCCACTTTTCCATGCAGTCGTTGCATTTCTGCTCTAATATCTGGGTTATCATACACACACAAAACAGCATGGAAAGAAGGCACTGAGCTCCCAGGAGGCTAACGAGCTGCTCGATAGGCTGGACAAAACACCCTGGTGCAAAGCAGAACGAAGACACAGCAATGTGCTTTTACTGCCTCTTAATACTCAATAGAAGTCCAGTAATATTCAATTTGTGACGTTATTTGCACATTGAATTAATCCAGAAGCTAAAGGGCTAATGAGTTATGGAAAGTAGCACATAGCTTAATTGCAACAACAAGGGCTGTTGGGCTATGCTCAGTCCTGGATAAAAATAACATTCTGCATCCAGTATTGCACAGCAGATGGGCAGGTCCTAAGGAAGTTGAGAAGTCCTGGCAAGCAGCAAACCGAACATTGCAAGCTATCGGAAAACCTGTTCTTTAAATACCCAAAGTTGCCCTTTTTTTTCCCCTCCTATTCCTCCCAAAACACCTCAGTGTTTGATAAGCAAAGCTCAGAAATGCCATGATGACCAATGGGAAAAAAATAGAAATAAAAATAGTTGACCTTGTGCAGTTCTCTGAGGAGGTGATTGTGCTGTTCCCCACTTCAGAGGGTGCAGAACTCTCCCGAAAGCCTTCCCTGGGAAGAAAAGCCACAGAGGATCCCATCTTCTGCATGGCCTTGTGGATCCTAGCCCTCCTCTGAGCCCTTTATGTAATGTCATGGTGTGGACAGCTTGAATCATTAAATCACAGAATATCCTGAGTTGGAAGGAATCCATAAGCAGCACTGAACCCAACTCCTGGCTCCAGACAGAACTACCCAAAATCTGACCTAGGCAAAGAAAACAAACACGGAAAGTGACACAACCAGCAAACTCAGCCCCAGCATCCCCAGCTGGACTACACCAGCAGTCCTGCTCTTCCTCCCAGCACTGCTTTCCCCAGCTCCTGGATCAAGCATGGAGCTGGCAGGAGGAGGGCTGGAGCCCTGAGCCTCACACAGGGCAGGCTGGGGTCAGGAGCTCAAGAGGTTGCACCGTGTAATAGAAAAAGTGAATAAATCTAAACAGCACTTAATTTATTGACGAAATAAGAAAGACTGTTTAATGTGGAAAACATAAGCAAGATCAATAGCAGAGAACGCAAATAACTAAAGCTATTGACACTTAAGTATTTTAAGCCTAATTGCAGGCATATGCACTTTCTAAGGGTATCTCACCTTCTAATAGCACCCTTGAGATTACGGGGTTAATTGATGCAGCTGTTTACTCCTGGCTCACGTGGTCCGGATTGGGATTCCCCGGAGGATGCTATTAAACTAAAGTGTTTAATGAAGTGCTAAAGAGTGGAGCTTCTAATATTCTCCCCTTGAAGGAAATTGAAAGGAAACGGGAGCAAACTTCTCTTCCCCAGGTGGGAACTGCAGCTCACGTTGGAGAACATCACCTTATGGTCCTCATGGAGGGAGGCTCACATGCAGGGCCAAAGGGCTTCTTTAAACTGAGAAAGAAGCTTGGGCTTCATTAGACTTAAGCTTTCTTAGACTGAGGCTGTGGGAAGGCATTTTGGTGATTTCCTCCTATGTCACAGGTAGGAGAGCAGACCCACCTGCATGCTCTGCATTTCACGGATGCCTCAACTTGACCATGGTGGGGCAAACCAAGACTGCCAGAAAAGAGGCTCTTAGAATCACAGAATGATGAAGGTAGGAGAAGACCTCTAAGAGCCCCAACCCATCTCACAGTGCCCACTGAGCACGTCCCCCAGTGCCACATCTCTGCAGCTGTGGAACACCTCCATGATGGTGAGCCCAGCGCTCCCTGGCCAGCAATGCCAGTGCAATACAGCTCTTCCTGAGTAGAAATTGTTCCTGCTACCCAACCTGATTCTCCCCGGTGCAACTTGAGACCATCACCTCTCGTCTGCCAGCTAAGCACCATGAAGGCAGGTTTAAGCTAAGCTCTTTTATTTCACAAACAGAGCATACAGTCAGATAGCAGGGCTCTGCTGGTGTGTGCTAACTCATTAAATGACAGCAATTTAATTGCCTTCAATTGTCTGTCCAGCCCCTCCACCCCACGCTGGCTGCTGTCCCCCCTGGAGCCACTCCTCAGCCCTGTGGGGACGATGTGGGAGCACCGCAGCCCCTGACACCAGTCCTGCAGTGCCGACAGCCAGGATGGAAAAACGAGGAGAGAGGAAAATTAGCAAAGAAACACGCAGCCAGCCTCAATGCCGATTCACTAAAGAATAATTATTGTCCTCTCACACGTCTTGCTTGTCCTTCTGACAAATAGAATATTTCTGAGAGAGCGCATCTCCCTTTAGCACCGCTGTCTCTCGCGCCCTTCCTGTCTCGCTAGCTCCGTCTCTGCCTCCCTGATTCCAACTCTGACAAACCGTGCGATTCTGATGGAAAATTCATTAGTCGTCCTCTTTTTTTTTCCCTTTCCCATTTTCCCAGTCAGCTTCGCGCCTGATCTGTCAGCCTCTTCCATCCTGATTATCTGGAGACGCCAATTTCAAAGAGACATCTTAATAGTGATGTCAACGAATTAATTAGATGTGTTAATGAGCTAAAAGCAACCCAAATTAAATTAATGCAGTAATAAGCACAGACAGCAAAATTAGCTCCAATTTCTGTAAATGATTCTGAACTGTACACAACATCTCATCCTGCTAGAACATTACCATCCCCCAAAGCTAATCAAGAACTCCAGTGCAATTAACTGCTTAATTACAAAACACACACACAGCTCATAGATCCAGCAGCAGGAGGGGTGCGCCGTGCTTCCGAGTGAGCGGAGAAATTCTCTGCAACCAACACCATGCATCAGTCCTGCAGGAAAGGCTGTGGTCCCAGACAAGAGAACCCCAAGGAGCCCCAAAACGGGGTTATTTGGAGCCAGGGCAGGGAATGGGGGCAGGTGTGGGGCTGGGAGCATCCCATGCTCTGGGCAGCAGCAGGGGATTGTGCGTGTGGCCAAGGATGCTTGTTGGCCAACCGCTCGGTGTTGGTTATTGTGTTGATCAGAGCAGGGGCTGCATGGCAAAGCCTAATTGTCCAGCTCTGCTCGTGTCCCCTGGGATGAGGTGGGAGCCACTAATAACATTGCGGAGCTGCTCAGGTATCTGATTAGTGCTAATTGCAGGCGGGAAGAGAAAGGGAAGGAGCGGATGGGGCTGTGATGGAGGGAAGGGGGATGAGGATGGTGGAAAGAGGGAATCGCTGAAGGAGACCGATGGGAATCCTCAGGATGGGGAGAAAGGAGAGCTGAGGAGGGGAATGATGGATGTAAACAGAAGAAAAAAAAAAAAAGGAAAAAAAAATCATGCAAACAAAGAACCAGAGCCAGAAACAAAGAGAAGGAAGGTGAGATAAAAGGGCATTGTGCTGCCAGAACCCATGGATCAGTGGACAGGAGGGCGATGGGGACATGCAGTCAGCTCTGTCCCAGCCCCACCATGCCGGTGGCACTGGGCTTAATGGGAAATGCTGGTGGGTGATACTGTTGGTGCAGAGATTGTGGAGTCACCAGCCCTCAAGCAAAGGAGGAATATTGCTGATAAAGAGGATAGCTTCCCTATGCCTTTCTGAAATACCTGTTGCTATGGCCCTCCTGTGCTTTCTACAGACCATAAACGTACCTCTTGCCTATTCCTTCTCATGGAATCATGGAATTGCTTCTGACAGCACTCATGCCATTTCACAACAATCTAACTTTTCCCTGGGGCGGATAAACCAGAACTGTCCACCACTCAAAGAGCAAAGCCAAAAATTGTATCACACCAGAACAGGCGCTGTGCAAACAGAACCCCATGGGCTGTGATCCGCATAACTGGGTTTGAAAGGAGGTGCAGATCGTGGCAGCAAGAAACGGAGAGGCTCTTGGCTTTCTCTGCATTGTCCTCACAGTGTGTTGGGGGACCCATCATACACACCATGCTTTGGCACAACAGCCAACAGTCGTCAGGCCTTGGAGAAGAAAAAGCTCAAAAAGATGTTGGTTTTGCTGTTAATGATAAAAGGAGAGCTGAAGTCGGGCTAAGAACGGCACATAATGGAACATACTAAAAGCTCTATACCTGGCCAATTCCTTACAGCTCTCACTGTGATTTTAATAATTGGAGTTATTTTTTAAGACAAATAATGCACTTTCATGGGGATGCTAAGGATGCCATTGCAGACTCTGGAGGCTTCGTACCGTGGCAGTGACAGACAAATTTCTTGCTCTCTGCTCCTGACATATAACTGAGGACCTACCTAATGGAAGAGCCCAATAAAAATAAGATGTTTCAGAAAGCACATGCTGAACCATCTTCTGGAATTGGGCCTAATAGCAAGCCCTCTGTGCCAGGAATATGCAGCTCATCTTCATGCCGTTTCCTCTCTTCCCAACTTTATAAATGGGGCAATACAATGCACTCTCCAACTAGAAAAATCAATGGAGATTTCCTTGGCCAGGAGCCCCACGGGCAGCCTGCAGCAGTGCAGGACAGGTCCAAGGGGGGGAGACTCGTCTGTAACGCCACAAATTGACCTCACTTTAAAATGCTGGTCCTTGACATGTCAGCATATGTCTGAAGAGCCCGCGGTGGACTTGGCAGGTGGCTGTGATGTAGTGAGTACTAGGTAGGAGAAACACTTCTGAAACAGAAGTTAATAAATGCCGGGAGAACAAGGAAATAATTGTGTCAAAACAAGCCTTAATCACTGAGTGTTACCTGTTTCTCAGTGCACATGAGTTTGCAAACACGTTTCCCATCAAAGCAAACGAGAAACACGGGCATTGGTCGGTGTGCCTTGAGAAGAAAATACTTCTCACAGGTGCCTCCTTGCTGCTGCCTGATCAATCTGCCATCTCCTTGTATTTATTCACAATTTCTTAAACTACTGCAGCAATATCGACATTAAATACAGCTTTGGCTTATTTTTTTTTCATTCATTTGTATTTTAAGTTGGCTTTATCGACCTCTCCTTGGCTTGCTCCTACACACATAACCCACGTTTCCTTCCCAACTCCTTACTCCTGCTCCAGGTAACCACAGCACAGTCATCTTCTGCTCCCGGTGCCCTGGATGAGCTGATTTAAGACCTCACTGGGGTACGGCACGCTGTGTAACTCAAGGCAGGTAAGGGTTAAGTCTCTTTGTCCCCTTTTCTATCTCATTGCTCCCACAGTGCCATGCCTGGCTGGCGCTGTGCAGCCCACCTCTACCTTCCACCCATCCCTTCTCAAACTTCAGCTCATCAAGAGAAGGATGGTGCTCGCCCTTCTCTCCAGCTATCTTCCTTTTTCTCTTTCTCTTCCCCATTCCCACCACGGGTTCATACTCCTCCCTCCTTGTGCTCTGCTCCCTGATCACTGCTTCCCCTCTTGTCATATTCCTCACGGAGAAACAACCTGTCACACTCGTAACCTCTTTGCACCAAAAGTGTTCTTTGATCTCTGCAAACTACATTTGATGCTGAAATCCTCGATATTAATATCTTTTGTTTGTGTGTCAATGTTCTCTAGAATCTAATTAAGCAATGTTTTGAGAGCATTATATATGTTTGAACAATTTGGCGGAGCAGACAATATGAGCTATTGACCTGCAAGGATAAATTGTGCTTGCAGATTCAGAGAACTGACACGTGCCTGCTTCTGTATGCCATTTCTTCTGAAATATGTGCATGTGTAAAAAGGCCTTTTCTGTAATAATCTCTGCAAGGCTTAATCAAGGAATTTCCCCCGCTCTTTGCTGCAATTGCAGCGGCAGATTCAGCAGGGCAGAACAGCAGCAGGTTGCAGCCAGCGAAAACAATAATAACATAAAGCAGAGCGAGTTCCACCCAAACGCTAATAACGGAGATTATTCAATCAATAGGCTCTTGCTATGAATGAGCAGGCTAAATTGCCTTTGAATGATGTAAAGATTGACAAAGTATAGGTCAGTGTAATACAACCACTTACCCTAATTTGACTTCAGCAGTCTGAATGGCAGCACGGGCTGGCAGTGGGGTCAGGTCCATGGAGTGATGCTCAGCTTGGCCTCTAGGGATGCTGGCAGGTGGATGGGGCCTGGAGAGGGGCTCAGAAGAGGGAAGGGAGGAAGAAGAGCAATGGCAGAAGCTCAGTGTTTCTGAGCTTCCTCCACCTCAACAGCAAAGCCTGGTCAGATGTAGATGCTGCGTTAGAGTTGGCCCTTTGTTAAGGAGAGCAGCACATCGATGGTGATGCTGGGAGATACCCACTGCGAAGGGCAACGCTGGGCTCTAAGAGGCTTCCCAACGCTGGGTTGGACGTGCTGTAGAGATGCAGCCTGGAGAACAGCAGAGGGGAAAACTCACGCTGTACCACACTTCTGGGCCTGCCAGGAGGCACAGCTCATCACTGGAGCTGCTGATGTGCCTCTGCTCTCAGCAAGAACAAAGCTCCAGGACTGGCAGAACAAAAGTCTTACCCATCCAGCACAGCGAACGTAGCAGAAAAGGATTCTGCCCCCCTGAGCAAGGCAGGGGCCAAGTCTGTGTCTTGGTTTCCCTTCCCAAGAGGCGCAGCCAACACAACTGTCCCGTGTGCAGAACCCTTTCTAAACAGCACATGAAAGGCCTTACACAAGTAATTATTAATATTAATAATAATAATTGTTGTTGTTACTAAGCCAACTACAAAAATAATTTTTCAGAGAAACAAAGTGCCCTGTCTCCCGGTGATAGATGGCAATGATGTTAGAAATTACTCACAGTGTGAATCTGGTTTCCAGTCTGGTTCCTTTCAATAAATTACAGGCTCGAGCCTGGAGTGCGCACGGTTTTAAAGTAAATACAAAGTAGGCAGGAAGTCTATTCCCCCATCAATTTTGCTCGCGGTCATTTGGGGTTTTCTCCAAATATCCCCCAGCAATTCTCAGCACATTTAGCTGGGGTGGTGGGGCTGTGCACGGGCAAATGGGGGTCCTGGTGAAAACTGGGGTGCTGGTGCAAACGTGGGCATTCCTTGGCCATCTCAGCCCAGCATCTTGGCGTCTCCCCCCGCCGTTTCCGACTCCCTCTGCACATTCTTCAATTTTACACTTTTTTTTTTTTTTAATTTTTGGGGGTTTCACCGCTGCTGTTTATCCGTTAAATTCCTTCCAGATGGGGCTGTGCTTTTCCTCCTTGCTTTACGCCGGCAGCGCGCAGCGGCTGCCCATCAGCAGGTGTAGGGCTGGGCGCAGCATATGCCGAGGGTTTGGCAGAGCCGGCTGCCCGGCAGCTCCTGCGTGCATCTCGCCGGGCAGCGCTCAGCTGGGACCTGGAGCTCCTCACAAACACCATCTGGCCTTGGCAGGCCCGTGGAGCCCTTCCCAGCGCTGGCAGCCTGTGCGGATGGATGGATAGATGGACGGATGGACGGACAGATGGACAAAGGGATGAAAGGATGGATATGTGGATGGAGAGACGAATGAATGGACGGATGGGTGGGGATGGATGGATGGACAGAGGGACAGCTGGACGGACAAATGGACAGGTGTTGGACAGATGGACGGACAGACAGATGGATGGAGAGGTGGATGGATGGACAGATGAATGGATGGATGGACAAGTGGACTGGCAGACGGATGAATGGACGGACTAATGAATTGGTGGATGGACTGATGGATGGACAAAAGGATGGACGGATGGAAAGATATGCAAGCATCCAAAAAATAATGAGCAGCAGAGGAAAGCAGAGGGAGACTCACAGGAAGAACTGCTTCTTTTCCACTGTGTGTACCAAGGGATCATTCCCACACACCAAGATGGCCTCTGCAAAGCCAGCACAGTGAGACAGGAATGGGCAAATCTTTCCAGAATGCTCTTGGCTTGCAAACAGCTTGGAAAAAAAGGTTTGCTCACTCCCCTGAAACTCTCCACGGTCAAATAGCAACAGATACTTCAACAGATATGCCTGGGAACATCAGTGGGCAGTATCCAAGCTCTGTGCCTCCAGGCAACAGCATCCCTGAGGGTAGCAAAAGACTCATTTTTACTGTGATGCTGCAGGTGAAGAGGTGTTATGGGTCCACATCTCAGCAGTCTACCATTGCCTGCCTCCATTCCAGTATTCTTCCATCTCCCGTAAGACTTCATTTCTTCTAGTCAGGGCCATCAGAAACTGACTCATCAGTACAAGCAGCTTGCTCCCACACAGAGACATCAGCCATTCAAGACACCTGTGATTGAATGGCTTGAACCCTGGAATCCTGCAATCTTACGGGAAACGATTTTCATTTGGAACTGCATAAAGAACAGAATCATAGAACCACTGAGGTTGGAAAAGAACTCTGGGATCACCGAATCCAACCCCAGTCCAAGACCCCCAACTATGGCCCTCGGTGCCACATCTCTGCAGTTCTGGAACACCTCCAGACAAGGTTACCCCGCCTCTCCCTGGGTAGCAGAGCCAGTACATCACCACTCCTTCTGAACATAAATTGCTCCTACTATCCAACCCGACCATCCTCTGGTGCAACTTGAAGCCATCACCTCTCATCCTGTCACTAAATACAAAGCACATGAAGCCCCCATTGCAGCAGAGCAGAGCTTCTCACCAGATCCAATTCCTGCTGCTGCCCAGCAAACCCCAGTGGCAGTCAAATTCACACAAAATGTCTCGAAGACAAGCGTTGGTGACACTGCACTGAGCCTCACCAACACATCAGCCAACAGAGCCAGAGCCCCTTGTTACAACCTTCTCTCTTTTGAACAGGACGCCATCTGCCTTCCTCCCTGCCACATCCCACCCTCCAAACTTCAAACCAAACCAAATGGATTTGTTGAAATATCCAAACCTGTGAATTCACCCCACAGAGCACAAAACACTGCGTTTCCCACCCAGCCACTGGAGCGTTGCTGATTTATACAGAGGCGTGCAGCGCTGATGTAGTATTTCAGCAGATACACATCTCCATTCTGCAGCTATTTCACACATGGAGTGATGTCAGGACAGGCTGACCTCCTGCCTCCCTGCATGGCGCTGTCTCTTGGGCAATGCCAGCCTGAGAGGGCATGGACAGAGGAGGAGGAGGAGGAGAAACAGATGCTTCCCAGGCAAACAGAGAGGGGCAACGGGAGAAGAGAGCCAACAGGGACAGAAAGGAGCATGCATACACACAAAGGCAAGCAGACAAAGGGAGTGCAGGGACAGGAGCTGCAGAAAGGACTCAGCTCAGCGAGGGCTGCTCTGGGAGCTCTGTGCAGGATGCATCCAAACAGCATCCTGACGCAGCCCTGTGATAAATATTCGTTGTGCCTGGCTCTATGGCTTCAGTTTCCACCAGGTTCACCTCAATTCTTGCAGAAAAAGTGCCCTAACGTCCCTCACGCCGCTCTGGCCTTCCTCCTCCTGATCTCCCATAGCCCCACTCCCGTGCAGCAAAGGAGAGAATTCTCTCTCATCAATCAGGATTGTGTTTCTCCCATGCCACGTAAATAATTTAGAAGCACAAGCATCCATGGCACTGCTTATGTGCAGCCCAAACCCAGTGCCAGGAATCTTGGGAAAAGGGCCCAATAATATTGTACCAGTCCAGAGTAATTAAAGTGCATCATTACATATAAATTTGTAATTAAACACTTTAACGTAATCATCCCGCACAGCACGATTCCTGATGAATTAATTAAAAGAACTCCAGAAATTAATGTTTTACTTGTCACCATTGTTGTGCTAGCTGTAGCCATCTCCCTGACTATTCCTGCAGCATGTTGTGAAGTAATTATGTCATTACTGGGGAACGGAAAGGCTCAAAGTCCCAAAAGAGGAGAAACTTGAAACAAAGTGCAGATAGCAACCACAGAAGGCAGAAGTGGAGAAGCACCAGCAGAGGATGGGAGCACCTTGCTGACTCCCACGCGTGTGCCATGTGTGAGGGTGCTCCCATGCTTGCTCAGGACAGGTCACCGCCTCCCAGATCCCTCCCTTATACCTCATGTTCCATTGCATTGCACTGCATGTTCTGCTTCAAACATACTGGACGATTCAGAGCCCTCAGGACCGGCCACGTCCTCCCATCCTGATGGAGACGATCCCCCGGATGCACCCCCAGCATCATCTGCCGGGGTTAAAGGGGTTACAGCTGAACCTAAATGGAATTGCTGGATGCAGCAGGCATTGCTGTCCATCTATCTGTCTGTGTGCGTGCGCACGCATACATCTGCATGCAGTGTGCAGCTCTGTGCCAAAAATCCTGCCTGGGGATGCAGGGTGCTACCACCAGCCAGAGCCCAGGCACTGACTGACAGCAAGGAAAATGTAAGAAAAGAGAAAATGTAAGGAGAGGAGAGGAGGCAGAGAGGGAGATGGGCCCACCAGTGTGCTCCAGGACGGACTGCCAGCCAGCTGCATGGGGTCACCCACGGCTGCAGCACTCCCCATCCATATTTACACACTCAGGAAGGAATAGATTCTCCCACAGCGTATTTCCCATGAATTATATTCCCAGTGCTGGTTACTATCACTTCTCATCCTTCTAGCAGTATCCTGGGCATTGTCTCAGTCTCACTCTGGTCTCACTCCGGTTTTCAACCCATGCAAAGCCCTGAAGTGCTCACAGCTCAGCTTGCTGGGGAGGAGCAGAAAAATTGTGGCATTTTTGGGGTGAAGCGTGGGCAGAAAGCCAGCATCTCCAGGCTGACTCAGTTTCCCAAACTAGAGATGACATTTAAGTGAGGCATTAGTTAACATTTGTGCAGCTCTTTGAAAAAGAAAACGCTTGAGGCTTTAAACACCGCCAGTGGGAACAGATCAACAAGATTTCTAACCCTTCTGAAAAATTAAAGCTTTTGCCAATTAAGCTGGCAAATGCATGGACGTGAATCTAAAAACCTCTTGAGCTCGAGACCAAGATGGGAGCCTCCTGAGAGCAGCTCTCCTGCTGCTCCTCGTGCTCACCATGTCAGAGATGGAGCAGGGAGCCCAGCCACGCACTGCCCAGCAGCCACACGCCTGCAGCACAGATCTGCCTGCACAGAGCTGCTGCTCCTCACGTCGCCACGTACAGCAGGAACGTGCAGATAACGTTGCCTCCTAGATTGCTTCAACTGACATTGCAAAAATGTCATCGTAAAGCGTAATTTCCTTTAATTTTTCAATTAGCCCTCTAATTTGGGTTGCAGCTCCGACGCCACGAGCTACCAGGGATCTCCAGATATATTCACACCAGTATACCTATCGCCTGCATTTGGGTGATGTCTATGGCTTCAGTGATTAAATCTCCTCATCAGCTCTGGAGCAGCCGTGATGGATGGCAAAGCAAAATGTGTGACACCTGAACATCCTTCCCCATCCCTTCCTGGCTTGGCCCTGCTGATCAGTGCCCAGCTGCAGTGGGACACCACATCACTGCGTGCTTGGGATGCAGCCTTGTGCATATCCCTGGACAGGGGAAAGGATAAAACCCACATGTTTAAGCACAGAAAGCATACAGGCATCACTCATCTGCACAGCCCTGGGCTGGACAAGGACAAGGGCAAACACCCACATCATTGCAGGATCTGAAAACCAGAAGCCTCCAGCAGCACGGTGTGCATGCAGTGCACTGATGGACATGGCACACATGCTATGATGCATTGCCTGAGCACAGGCACCCAAAGCAACGCCACCTGCAGGCACCAGTCCTGGATGAAACCATTTATTCCATCACCTGCAGTGGCCACTCAGTCCTTCAGTGCCACCGCAGGAATGGGGCAACCACAGCCCCACTCACCCCACACACACGTTTGCCCCAGGAAGGGTCTGGCTTGCAGTGCTGGGGGCTCTTCCTCACCCTTCCCCATCCCTCTAGAAAAGCCTTACCTTTCGGAGCAAGTCCAAGATATTAATTAAGATAAATCTACCTCAATTTTGAGATTCTCTTATCATGTAATTTATCAAAATTATGTTAATTATTTCTGTAGGGCAGCAAAATTATTACCTCTTCCGTGTCTGATTTGTATTAATATTCATAATTTAATAATTCAGCATCCAAGCCATCTGGTTTGGGGAGCCACGCTCCTTCCCCTCCCTCTGCCGAAGCCAAACTGCTGCAGCCTCACCGCTCCCCAACGTTCCCCACCTAAAATGCAGCACCATCTCTGCCACTGCCATCCCCCTGTGTGGCCGTGGAGCCTTGTGGGTCCCACAGCCCGGAGAGCAGAGCAGCCCCTGCCCTGTGCTGGGCTGAGCCTCTGTCACCGGCGCTGTCTCAGCCCGGCAGGTGAGCACAGCTGAATTGACATTTTCCACACTTTGTGATTTTTACACTGTAATTTGACATAATTAATGCCTACATTACTGCTGATAATTTAGCTAGTTAATTAAACTCGGAGGAGATAATTAAGGAGAGGCTACTGCTTGGACTGCTAATTGTTTTTGTCATTATTTTAGGGGCCCGACAGCTGCCGGCTGAGTCATCCTCCCCATCAGCTGACGGCCGCACGTGAGCGGTGCTGCGGGCGCAGGGCTGGGGGCAAAGCGGTGCGTGCAGATGGCGAGGGGCTCTGCGGTGCGCAGCCCCACGGCTGAGGGCAGGCGGTGTGGTTCTGTGCTGGAAAGCAAAGGAAAGTTGTCAAGAGGTGGATAGCAGTCAAGCATTGGATGGGGATGCCCAGGGAGGCGGTGGAAGGCATGGTGGGACGAGCTGCGTTGAGCTCGGGGATCTTACAGCTCTTTCCCAACCTCAAGGACTCTGTGATTCTACAATTCTGTGATTCTACAAGAGCATGCCCAATGTCTTCCTCCTCCGTGTCACCGGACCATGGAACACCCTGTGTGCCATCAGCTCGTGGTGCACAGGGCACGCGCTGGGGCTCACATGGAGCTGAAGCACTCGCTGCCTGGCCTGCCAGTGAGCAGAGCAGAGGCCTGCAATTCCCTGTGTATCAGTGCCATGTCCTCATCCTGGAAGTAAGGAAAACTAATCCTTACCCTTACCCTCCTGCACTAGCAGCACCGTGTGGCTTGGCAGCACAAGATTTCTCATTTTTGGGAGCTCTTCATCTGCAGATAAATCCCTAGTCAAAGTAGAAGCAGACAGGTGACAGCCCCACCTGGTCCCCAAAGAGAAAAGCACATCATCGGCGCCGTGTCCCTACTCTCTGTGCCCTTGGTCTTGCAGAGCCCTGTGCCAGCCCCCATCAGTACCCCATACACCCATACAACCCCTGCACCTCTCTGCTGACCCACACATTGCTGCACAACTCCCCCCACTGCCTGGCTCCCTCTGTGCTTTGCACCATGATTCTGACTTCACAATCCAGAGATGGGGAAGGACAATGGTGATTAGCAGATGCCCCTCGAATAATTTGATCAATCACCTAAGCCTCATTCAGTGCTGCTGGCATCCTCCAAATCAAAGCTTCTCTTGCAATGCTGTGACAAAAAACCATGGAGCTGTGGAAGGGTTCAGCCAAGCATGGAACAACACGGGAGCTGGCAAAATGTTCCCTCAATATCTCTGCAGTCAGAGACACGAGATGTGTAACAAGTTTCACAGAGACACATCTCTCCGTGTTAAGAGGAGACACTTTGATTTCTGCCTCTCTGCATCTCCAACAGCAACTCCAGCCCCATCCTCCTGCACTGGTTGACTTCTGGTGGAACCTAAAGATCCTCTGCACGATGGGCTGCACAGACAGCACCACGGAGCACCTCAACCCAAACAGGACCATACGTGTAGGCTGCTCCGAAAGTAATGCCTCCTATTTATCTCCACCGAAATTACGACAGCTACAGGGAGCACAACAGCACTAACTGATGGAGCGAATTCTCAAC